AGCCGTGATCCTCTGGGTTAGTGGGAAGTTGGGGAAAGTGGATCTTGGGTTATCAGCTTCAGCATGGGAGACCCTGATGGAAGGTATTGGGGTAACAGAGTTTTATTGTCTTAGTGAGGGTTTCTATTACTGAGATAAACCACCATGATCAGAACCAACTTGAGAAGTCAAGTGTTTATTTCTGCTTACAGCTGTCAGAGCACACTCCACCACTGAGGGAAGTTAGGTCAGGAACTCAAGGCAGAAACCTGGAGGCAGGAACAGAAGCAGAGACAGTAGAGAAATGCTACTTACTGACTTGCCCCTACGGATCGCTTAGTTCACTTTCTTATACCATCCAAGACCACCATGATAGCTGGGCCCTCCCACATCAATCATCAGTCAAGAAAAAACCCACAGGCTTGCCTACAGGCAGGTTTTATGGATGTGTTTTCTCAGTTGATGTTTCTTCCTCTCAGATGACCCTAGTTTGTGTCATCTGAGAGGTTGACATCTTGATGTTGACATCATCTGCCCTAGGCCTTCCTAGGCAGTATCAGCTTTTCATTGCTTCTATAATAGTCTGCCAAGAATAAACTCAGTATTTTGCTGTTCCAGAGGCTGCGAGTTCAAAATTACACTCTTTAAACTAAAATCAAAATTTCAGCAGGTCTGATGCCTTTTAGGGACTCGAGGAGCATTCACTTTCTGGTCTGTTCCAACTTCTCAGGACCGCCTGCATTCCCTGGCTAATGGCTCCCTTATCATCCTTGGTTACACTTCTTTGCCCGACCCATCTTCATCCTCTTATGTCTTAAGAAGATGTGATTTCATTTACTCCACCCATCTCATCCAAAACATTTCCTAATTGACGATCCTTAAAATGCACTCACATTTGCAAAGCCTCTTCTACCACACACAGTAGCATGTTCATAGGTTCTGGGGATGAAGATGCAGACATTCTTAATGGATGATTATTGTACTGTCACACTGTTCTGACCCTAGGGAGTAGGCCTGGTGATTCGGAGTTTAACTTGGAAAGCTGCAAGGGAAATGAGAGGTGAGCTTGTCAAATAGCCTCTTACAGTCGTGAAACATGAGGATGCTTGCTCTGTTGAGGGACTGGAGAGTCTTTGGTTTCAAACCCAGACACATAAGATCCAGCTCAGGCAGTAGTCTCCCCCATACCTCCTGGAAGATGAATAGTGATCCCAAAGACTGGCTTGTCCCGTGCCTACTCCTCAAAGGCTGTGTGTGTGGATAGCCCACACAGTGGGAGTCTGGGCTCTCATTACTGCCACTTCCATGAAATGAGAGGCAGCGTGATTTCTCACACACAGCAATCATTTCTTTTCCTGATAAAGACACTAATCGGGAAAAGGGCAATTATCTCAGCGGACATACCAGCCTTTCGGCGTGACGTTATCGACTGTTTGAAATTACATGGTATTCATCTGCTGCTATTTTAACGTGTGCCTTCTCTTATCCCTTGACTCCTCAGCCCACTGATCGATCCCACCCTCCTACCCTGCTTCTTTTTTATTAATCTGGGGGAAAATAACTGACTTATTTTCAGCCAGCTGATGTTGCTAGCAGGACTCGAATATCAAGAGTTGTGATGAGGAATTTTAGTCTGTCTGCTGGTGTCTAGGTACCACCCACTGGAAGTCTCAGAAGTCCTCACCTTTGTTTCTACCGACAAAGAAATGGCTGACAACAGCCCCTATTTGTCTGGTTGCATGAGCTCCATGGCCCCTTAGAAGTCCTGGATTATTCTACTAGATTAGAGGAAGTCATTTACCAACCTCGTGAGCTGCAATCTTACAGCTCAAGACAGAGTGCTCTCTCTCTCTCTCTCTCTCTCTCTCTCTCTCTCTCTCTCTCTCTCTCTCTCTCTCTC